GTCACTACAAATAAATAAGCTATCCAGTAATAACATATAATACTGTTGTTATAAAAAACAAAAAACAATGTATCCTGCCCAGTCCTCTCGTGAAAGTTTAACCGATCCATGTGTAAAATCTATTGATCTTTTCTTTACCTTGGATAATTAATGAAAAAGCCTAACGCTAGTTATTTACTCATCTAAAAACATGTCTCTTCCTCCCTGCAAGAAAATATCCATTAGTCATCTAGCAGGAGTGGGCAAATGGAATTTTGTGAAGCTGCTCTTATCAGTTCAGTGAAAACGTCAGTGGAATTTTATAAGGACTTTACAAAATCAAATCTGTAAAATGACTTGGAATGCCTGTATGAATATTAAGTTGATCAAGTTTCAGAATCTGATTAAATATTATCTCTGACTGCGAAGCTCAGATTGAATCCAACATCTCTAAGTTCCAGAAGTGTTCTGATATTCTACTTTTGGGCCATTCTGTAATGTTGATCTTAGAAATATGGTTCGTATAGTATGCCCTTAAAGTCTAGCATGCAGATATTACTAGCTAATTGGTTAGGGAAAACTACGTGGAAGCCTGATCCTAAATTACAACTTCATTTCTCTTCTCATGTTTCTATACTGCAATATTTTAATTCTCATCTAGCTATATGACTTTCTCATATTTTGGGAATGTGTTACTTATATTTTTGTAATGTTTGTATAATGATACATATTGGTTTAAAGTGAGGTAACGATTCATAAACATGTTTTGAAAGCAAGGGAAAAACAGGAGGGGAAAGAGCAGCCTTGAAGGAATAATCCAGATTTTTCTAAATACTGTATGTGCAGTCCTTCTGGACCTATTAAGTACCATACAAATGACGCACGTTGTTGGAGTACAATTGGTTATATGGCAATGCTTTGCTTGGTTGAGTGGAGCTAGACTTTACACTGTCCTGTGCTTATTGTTCGAATTACTTTGTCAGCAGACAGGCTGAGGTTATAACAACTGTTTTAGATTGGAAATACTTTTGTTCAGAAATCTGACATGATTTGCTAGTAGTGACAACTGATTTGACAATGACCAGTGATTTAGGCCTACCTGTAATAAGTGAATTAATCTGAGTTAAAACATAGTGATCTGTCATGTTTAGAGATACCTCAACAGCTGGCTGACTTGTCCTCTGTCAGGCTAGTTTGTCCTGTGCAAATCTTCTGTCAAATAAGGAAAAGAACTGTTGGGAGAAAATTACATGGCAGTTTTAGAGTTAGTGATGAATTTTTCTCTCAACATACCAGCTGTGCCAGCAACACTATTTTTTGTGGCATTAATCAAATATCTTGCCTGCAGCACCTTCACTTTCCCAAAGGCTAAAAGATGAATCTGTCAAAAAATTTCATTGGGATTTGCCAACAGCTTTTCTAAGCTCAAATACTAGTCCATGCACCTTAGAAGTTTGATGAAGCTTTTAGGGATGTGGCTCTGGGAATTAAAAGTTGTATAGGGTAATTTTGCTTTTACAAAGCAAGAATTCAAAGCCATCATTGCAGTGAACATGATGAAGTTAAGGAGTCTGGGAAAAGGCCAAGTACTCAAGCTTTATTAATGTATTCCATTTACTGGCTTATAGCTAAGTATTTATTTTTAGTTGTAGTTTTGCAATTAGCAAATTGCAAGAACAATTGAAGGCCACCGAGGGAACTTACCACTACCAACTTCTGTAGACAGGAGAAATGGAGACAAGTTTAATTTGAAGTTCAGAGAGACAAAACATTCACAAATGCAAAAAACACATTATATCATTATAACAATATATTCATTGCTTATATTAACTCTTGAAAATTTCAGATTGGACCACATCACAATTAGGATTATATTTTATTATAAATTATTTTCTGACAGAAAATCCTGTTACCTTCACTTCTATTTTTTATTATTGATAATTATTTCCGTTAGTAAATTTCTTAGCTGAACGTTACAAGGTCAAATCATAAACTTAAAGAAGCACTAGATTCCCTTCAAACTGGAGGGGTGGGAATTTGACCTATCTTGATGTTCATTTAAGCCACTACCTAAGTAAAGTCACACCTTGAAGCCAGTGTTTCTTGGGATTTTCTTAGTAGAAAGTTGTGCTACATAGTGCCCCCCTAAAAGTTGCAAAACTCAGGTATGGTGTCATCTTATGGGAGGAAATACTTTGCACCATCAGTGTGTAGTTAACTGAATCAGAGAGGTGTGGGTGCAGTGTCCTGGTTATTTTGCATTGAAAGAAAGCATTTCCAGTTACTGCTGCTATCTAGGTACCCATGAGTTGTGAGGATTCACGAGTCTTCCTTTACCAGGGTTGACTCCATCAGTCTCAACTACAACTAACTCCTCTAGCTGCTTGCCTCTTCCCTTGACTATCAGCTTTACCTTGCACAGATTGACTTCAAAGCCCACTGTTTCTCATCCACATTCTTGCAGTAGTTGTCTCAGATGCTAAGAAATGGCAACAAGCCCATACAGAGTTGAATGGCATTTGCACCATGCCAAAGGCTGCCAGTAAATCTAACAGTATATCACAGGCACTGGCTCACTTTCTTTAACCATTAGGAAGGCTGTCATTAACTAGTACAACCAGATTTAAGAATATCAGAAGTGCCATACTGGTTCAGGCCAATGGTCCATCTAGTCCAATATCCTGTCTTTGATAGTGGCAGTAGTGGATGCTTTATAGGGAGAGCATATGAACAGTTCTATCTAGAAGAATCTATCCCTGTCATACATACACTCTTTACATCTTTACCTCTTTACTGCTTTACCTCTTACCCTAGGACTAGGATACTGCTTCACATGCCCTACTATCACCCCATTGAAGACTGTGCTAAACAGTGTGGTAGCCTGAGTATGTGGCAGTCATGGAATACTAAAAAAAAAAAAAAGAAAGAAAAAAAGAAAGAAAAAAATTATCACATCACTGGCCTTGTCATTTCTATTGCTCCCTGTTCTTCTGCTCCATGATAGACCCTGCAGTGGTTTTGAAGCTCGCTTCTCTTCAAAATGGCTTGTAAAGTACAAATTTCTGCAACTACTACCAGTCAGTGAAGCTTCAGTTTCAACAAACTTGTTATGGAGGGAGTTCAAGATGCTCCTCTAATCTAAAACTGCTGGATAACTTAGGAAGTGCAGGGTGCCTCAGATAAGGTTTCTTTTCAAAAAGTACCTTTCTTTCTTTCAGGCCTTATCTGTGGAAAAGAAAAGTACTTTCTCTATTTTATAGGAGTCCTCAAAATTTAAAAAAATTAAGAAATAAAAAAATCCTGAAAAATATGCTGTAGCTATGAATTGGAGACATCTCAAGACCTCTGTATGAAATGCCTCTTGTCTTACATTAAGAAAAGTTAAGCAGTTATTTTAAAAGTTGGAAATGGAAACTGCATCCAAAATAGGGAAAATTTTACTCTGAAGAACTGAAAGGGATTAATGGCGACCTTTATACTGCATGCCCAAAAAAGGAATTACAAAATGCTAGAACCTCTGAACTCTTTGTATAGGAGGTATGCTTTTTAACATTTTGTGTCCATATCCACTTGTAATGATATCAGTTGTTCATCCCATAGAAGGATATATCAGAAATAACTTCTATTGTTTTTCTGTATGCTAACGGCAATAAAAGCAGACAGCAATCAGCTTGATTGTTGTTGATAATAGAGTTCCCCACCAGCAGCATGGATAGCAGCGCAAAGTTCTAATTCACTATCAAATCCAACTCTGTTTTATTTCTGATACATGTATATTTTTGTCAATTTGCATTACCTCATTAGCAAAGGCATCTGTGTGATCCTGGCTAAGATTAGAGGAATAGGTTAGGCTATTATTACATTGTTTTGAACGTGCTCACAACCTACATGAAAATGAACAACCCTAGCAATGATTAGCAATATCAGAGGGTACTGTGGTTAGAGTTACTTTACCACAGAAAAATAGTTTGCTTAATACATTTAATCATTTTCGAAAACTAATTAGAACCTTTCCAAGGTAAGCTGATTACCTGTTTTTTTTAAGTCTGCCTGCCTGCCGATGTGCTACAAACCTTGCAATAAAGGAACAGAAAGTGAGCTATTTTAAATTATGCCATTGTATATCCAAAATGTATATTATTTTGGATGTGGTGTATTTTACAATTTGACAACTTGGAACTTTGTAAACTGGCAATTGGGCACAGGCGAAGGTATCCATTTATCTCATATATGTCTTGTTGAGGCAAAGCTGTCAGAAGAAATCTTATCACATGGTGCCCCATTTGTTTTCTGTAGTGATTTATGATGGTTTTGAAAAGGTCTTGTGATCCCATAGGCTGCCACGATTCTCTGACTTTTCTCTGTCAATGGATCAGATTTTTGACATTTTCTTAGAGCATTCAGAAAAGATTTGATAAATCAGCTTGCAGTGTTTATTTTAATTGATCTAAAGCCCATTCCTTCAAGAATTCATCAAAAACTCTGACAGGGTCTGGGTGTGCTGCAGTAAAATGAAAGAACTGGGTTGGCCATGCTTCTGTGATGATGATATAGATATTTTGTTGAAAGTTTATGCTCACAGACGAGAAGATGTCATAACTAATTTAGTATGTTGTAAATCTTTTGACGCAGATTCTAATTCATAAATCTCATCCATCACATGTGATTCATGAAACGATAGACAACCTTTGATGAGAAGGTACTTTTGTGTGTGTTCCAAGTTCTTTGCATTTTTTTTTCCTCTTCAAAAATAAATCATTCCAGAACAACAGAATTCTATTATGAAAGTGGTGCTGTAAAGGTCTCTTATCCTTTTGCATCTGTTCTTCCAGTCATAAAGGGTAACATTTCTCCTTTTTAAGATGTAGATTAATAAAACTTTGCATGCACATGAACTTCAGTTTATAACAGGAAGAAAATTTTACTGATTGTGTTGGTTCTGGTTGAGGAGTAGTCAAATTTGGCTGGTATAACTTGGATCTCTTTTCTTCTCTCACAGGAACCTCCATCTGTTGAAAACATCACCACAAACACCTGTCCTGATCAACCACAGTCAGTGTCTTTGATCTCTTCCCTCATTGTTTTTGGGCTTGGTTGGTGAACCTTTAAGGAAGCCATTGCAGGATCTGAGCCTCTCTCTTATCAGCCAATCCACTCTTTTTCCTACTACTAATTAGAAGAATTGTTACCAGGTGGTGGCTGTGGATGGTCAAGGAGGGGTTTTGTGGTGGTGTATTTGTTCCTGCAATTTAGGGAAATGAGCATGGGATGACTGATAAGCAGGCTGGCCTATCAGGCAATGACTGGTAATAAATAAATTAATGTCACTCAACTGAGTTGTCAAGAAAACTCCTGAGGCCTGGTATTAATCTGTATGTTTGTTTATCTATGTTTCTATCTCCATATATAAGTTTATGTACAAAATATGAAGCCCATGATAAAAAAATATGAAAGTAACAAAGTCAAGAACTCAGAAGTTAGCATTAAGCTTGGCAATGCAACTTCATCCTTCTGTGTATGCATTTTAATAATCTAACTCCACTTCATATGGGATGTTTGTGGCACAACCAGGAATATAACTTAACTTTCCTAAGTCCTAGTTCATTAATTAAATACAAAAAAAATTATTCTTTTCTTAAATGTGTTCTGTGTCACTACCAATCCATTTTTGCACTGAATGTGGCCAGCACATATGTATTGCTTGCATTGTGGTCTGGACTTCTAGCTTCACATCTGCTGAGGAGGGAATGGAGCTTGAGAGTCACTTAACACAGTTGGCATATAGGAAGGTTGACGGGGCAAAGTAACATCTCTGCACATTTTAGTGGCAAACTGTACTAAGCTGTGCTGGTTAAATGATTGTATTCAGAGACCTGTAACTTGGGGATTAAAAGCGTCTTTCTGACTACAACTTCCAGCTTCCTGTTGCAAAGACTGAAGAAAAAATTGGGGTTTTTTTATATGTATATTTTTGGGTGTACTTATTCCTTCCCACCGCCATTCTTATAAATGGATGAAACTTTACAAATTCAGGCTGAGGAAGAGACCAGCCAAAACAATTTTAGCTGGAATGCTTTGCTATACTGGTTGTTGAGCTGCTCTGAATGGCTAGAGCAGGACAGAGCATCCAAAACTGTGATTGTAACCAAAATTCTTAGTTACTGGTCTAGTGTAGGGCTTTACTGATGTTTTTGGAATTAATTCCCCAGAGCCATTTGCTGCCACCTTCATCCTTATTGTAAAGAAAGGGTGTCAAATGCACCACCCCTAGGTCAGATCTGGCCCACAGAGCTGGGTCATCTGTCTCCCAGGCTTCATGAAGGGACTTCCCTGCAGCTGGTCAAGCACTGCAGTGCTAGAACCTTTGCTACTGGAGCTCCAGCACTGTGGCTCTCACCAGCTTGGCTATCAAGCACCTGGGGAAGAGCAGCAGTGCTGGAGCCCTAACAGCACCACAGGAAGAAACCCGCCACTGTAGTTTATCCCTGTGGTGGCAGCCAAGTGCCTGGGATTCTGGGCCTCTCTACCGAGACCTGCTGAAGTGGGCACCACATCTGGCAAGGGTAGGGGGAGAGTGGAGGGGTCTGTGGGCCCAATCTAGTGTGTGGGGCCAGCCTCATAGCATTAATTTGGTCCATGAATTAGTCTGTAGCACTCATTCAGCCTGCAAGGCCAGACAGTTTTGACACCCCTGCCATAAAGGATTGAGCAGTCAATAATTTCTGCTGCTCTACATGACTCAAGGAATAGGACTTCTATTCATGTTCCTGTTTCATCTGCCATATTCCCTTCTGCTGAGTAATGCTGCAATCACTAACCAATGCGGCTACCTTTTCAAACAGAGAAGAAACCCATCAGTATGTTTTTTCCAAAGCAGTGTTCTGCTCTTCCACACAAGAAAATGATCAGTTAAGAGTGGGAGCACCACAGTGTTCTCTGGCATTGTGAGACATTGATTCAAGACCAAGAAGATATAACTCAGAGAGAAGGGTGGATGAACTGGAGTTTCTGATTGTCTTTTTACCCAGACTTGTCCTCATTCTTTTCCCTCTTCAGTGCTGAAGCCCTTTCCAGAAGAGTAACAGCAATCATTTGTTTGCCTAATTCTTAGTGCTACCCAGTCCAGAAACCACTTTCAGAGAGAGATTCCAGTCTAGAGACTGGCACCTAGGCTTAATATGCTGTTGGCACAGATCGTGATTCTCCATAAAGCTCAGGCTATATTTAATACCCCAATCATTTTAATCTAGTCTGTCCCTGCTCACTCCTGACCTACAACACCCTGACTATTCCAGCATTGGCTCTCTTCTGAATAGGGACTTGATACTGCCAAAATGTACTAAATTATATGACTCTGTTTTGTGAGGAGGATAAATGCACATTAGGGTTTAGACTGGAACCACCAAAGGACCAGAGCCATTATACTGAGGCAATCTTAAAAAGCAGTTTGAAAAATGAACTGGACTCTTAAAGAGGGCAATTTTTAGAAGTGCCAGCAACTCTTAGCACAGTCCTTAAAAGCCCACTGCATTGCCAGCATTAGAAAATTTCCAATACATCCACAATTCAAAGATTTTACAAAATTGTTATTTATTTGACCAACTGCCAATGCAATCAGTGGGTAATGAACTTGATGTTTTAGCTATAAGATAAAGTAAGACAGACAGAAAGCACTCAAAATCTGCAACAGCAGGATTGACAGATTTTTTAGTGTTACTTTCTCCATCAAAGAAACAAATAATTTGGAATGTAAATGAACAGTAGCATTAACTAGTTTCTCAAATTCTACTGAGGTTGCTCAAGCTTGTAGTGTCAGTTACTTACTTCAAGATAGCTGATAAAAAAATGTGCTTTGAATATTATTTTTAACCAATAAAATTGTTTCCCTCCAGAATTTTCAGTCTTTCAACCGTCCAAAGTGTATACCTTTCTGAGTGGCCAGAATAAATAAGAAAATGCTTGATAATGAACATTTTTGGGGGACAAATACCAAATGTGCCAATCATAAAACAAAGAGAAAAATAAGATGGGGGGAACATTACTATTAAGAATTAGGATATTCCATGTCCCATTAATTGGCAGCTTGAGAACTGTTTACAAAGGAAGGAAACCTGTTTTTAGAATGACTATTGAGGATAGATTTATTCAGAGCATTATGTTTTTAAATCTCTCTCCTACATTACCATTATGTACAACTTTACTAATACCATTCAAAAACTTCCTATGGCCAGATGGTCACCTGACTTATTCCATCTAAGTAGCTGTTCTCTACTCTTAAAAAATAAATTCTTCAGAGTGATTATTAGACTAGTGAATTTCTGGATCACTCAACAAGCCTCACCTGATTTATTGTACAGAAGCAATGGTGGATGCTAAGGCTGATCAAATGATGTTTCTCCTTGATGTCACAGAACTGGTACCTACATCAGCTGAAGACATCCGAGCGGATATTGACTGAGTTAAGAAAGCATATCCTTGCTAATTAATTCCTTTTGCATACTGGGTTGCTGTTTGGTACACATGCTTGCATCCAACTTGAGAGGTACCACGGTAAGCAGGTGTTGCAACTGTCTTAGCCCAAAGGTATCACAATAATTTTACCTGGCACTGTTCCAAACACAGACTGGAACTAGCTGTTGGAGATGATGTCAAAGAGATTGATAGTGTGAGCTATTTTGGAATTTCCATTGATTAATTGTCTCTCTCGTTCCTCACCAAAGGCAATGCTCTGAGTTTCAAGACTATGTATTACAACTTAGTTTATATTTGCTTTTGTCAGTTCAAAGAATTCTGGGAATTTGATGGATCATATCTCAAAGGAGGATTGACAGAGGTGGTGGAAAATAGCAGTGCTGCTATGTACCACACCTTTCTCACTGACCAAGAAAACAAAGAAAAACTACCAGCCCTTAGATCTGTTGGTAGTGATACAAGTATTTCTGTTGCAGTGTTGGCAGCTCACAAAGTTAGTTAGCAGTTATGCTAGGAATCATCTCACTCTTAGAGTTTCATTAAAGGTTTCTATTTTTTTTCTCTGCTCTCAGTTTAAGAATAGTTTGGTTTAAAGCATAGGAAAGTAATTGAGTTTACCATGTTGAACTGAGGGAATTACTTTTATGTGTGAGGCAATACTAGATAGAAAGTGCCTCTTTTTATATGCTTATTTTAACCAACAAAGGGCAGGTCTACACATTCATTAATGTGCATTAAATTTAGTACCTCCATTGTGAGATACTAGAAAAAGGTTCTTTAACCTAATTTTAATACACATTAGTGAAAGGACAGTCTTTTTGTGATTAATACACATTAAAGCGCATTAAAGCACATGTGTAGGTGTGCCCAAAGTGGGCTGTATTTCAGCAGCCAGGCTTAACAAATACGGAAGAGAAATGATATACAACTAATGGACATAGCATCGCAAGTCGGTGTTAACAAATCAGTCATTGCACTAAATGCTTCTCAAATTCTGTTGTAGAAACAATTAAAGTACTGATGGTAGTCTTAAGTTACTTCAAATTGTCTGGCACAATTGATTCACAATTATGTTTACTCCCTGAAGCTCCTAACTACTAAGTCCTCCATCTACTTTATAGTTCAGCAGAGTTCTCCTACCTGCCAACTGGCATACTCAATATCCACTGTAAAAAGCCATTATGCTGGGTCCAGGAAGTCTAAACACATCACATTGGTATTAATGATAATTATGAAATCCTTCTGTATGGCCATATAATCCCTAAGCTTTCCCAGAACTGAGAAAACTGAATGAGGTTTGACATTTTTTTTCTCCTTAATTTATATGATTAAAGGGTCATTGCCAGTGATTTAAGGACTCTGCCACCAGTCAATTAGTATTTGGAAGAACCTTGACTACTTTCTAGAGTTTCACGATAGCAAGCATTCTCGTTCTAAGAAATGTTATCATTAACTGATTGGTATATACCACACAGCAAAAACCCAAACTATTTTTTTCAAATAACTATTCTTTCCACTTAAAAGTTTACTGTGAAGTTGTGCCTGTTATTGAAGAAGTCAGATGCCCTCCAAAATCCATG